CTGAAGCTCCCAACTGCTCCTTTTTTTCTTTTTTTCTATTCTGGGCCAGCTTTAGCTCTGAGGCCTCCTGCTGAAAGCAGGTTTCTGGCCTTTACCTTCTGTATTTGATACAATGTTGCGGTCAGTCTGGCTGAAGCCCGGCTGACTGAAAGCCGGTTTCTGAGGTTTTGTTTAGCTTCTATATTTGCAACATAGTTGCTTAGAGTTGCAGCTGAGAGGCCAGCGGGGAACGTTGGAGTCCGCAGTCACTGGAGCAAGCAAGCCTCCCTGTTCGCTTCAGTGCATGGCTGCTGGCCTCCATCTTGGCTGACAGTTAATTTGCATAAGGACATGCTGTTAGCCAATGGGAAGGGTAGCAGTCGTACGCTAATTACCATGTTTCTCTTTTATTAGTGTAGATACCTAATGAATAAAATTCTAATTTTCAGTGTTTTAATATTACATCTAAATTCCATATGCACTCTGTGCCAATACTTAGCAAATACTGAACCCGTGTTCCCCAACTAAGTGCCATTTTGGAATCATCTGGGAAACCTTTTAAGAAACAGGTGTGTCCAGATGTCTCTCACAGACATCTTAGAAGAATTTTAAGGGAAGAAGAACTTTATATTTTGAAAAAAACTCCCCAATTATTTTGAGATTGCCCCATCAATTTTGAAACTCACCTTGAATGGGAAAAGCAAAATATTCCTTCTCAAATACATTTCCTCAGAGAATTAAATACAGATATGTCCATTAAAATTATAGGATGGGTTTTTTCCCCGCACTTATATTCTCAGAAACATCAGTTTTCTTAGCTCCCATCAAAAATTTATCACCACATTAGCTCATGCTTGAAATTCTTCCAAACAGGAAAGCTTGTCAACAAAATACTAAAAAACCTGCCTTGCCTTTATGCAGTAATAAGAGTTTTAATGTGTCCAATCCAATAAAAATCACATAACAATCCTTCACCGAATTAGAACACACATTCCTCTTTAATCTGGCATTCTCAAAAGTGCTGTCTACTAGCATCTTCAAAGGAACTAAGCAAAAACAGTGTCCAAAATATATCCCCCTCCTGCCTGACCAGCCTGGTCCATGTGCCTGCTCACTCTGTCAGAGGTTATGCCTCACTATGGTCCCAAATCACTCACATAACTTACAGCGGCGTTGAAATCAAGGCATCACACATTTGAAGTGAATCTCCTGTCTTTATTTTACTGTCTCAAAACTACAAAGAAGTGTCTATTCTTCTTACCCAAACAATCTTGCTCTGGAGTTACAATTGAAACTTCGTGATTCCCTGGATGAAGTATGCAGCAGACCTTAGCACTAGTTTAAATTATTTTTCTGTTCCGGTATTTTTTTTAATGTATTCTAAAAGGACTTTAAAATGTGGGGATCCTTAGACTGGATTTCTTTCCAGTCTCTAAGGAAAAGAGCAGGAATGAGAATATGTTGAGAGAAAACAGGAAACGCTTCTGCCTCACTTCTAGTGGGGCAGCGGCAGACAGATTGTGTGTATAACTAGTGATTACAAACTTCAGCTCGATATTTTACGGTGCCATGTTGACATAAAAAAAAACCTTAAATACCAGATGTGTGTTAATTTGACTATCATCTGCTAATTTCTTTCCTTCCCTAACCACATAGTACAGTGGTTCTCAACCTTCTGGCCCTTTAAATACAGTTCCTCATGTTGTGACCCAACCATAAAATTATTTTCGTTGCTACTTCATAACTGTAATGTTGCTACTGTTATGAATCGTAATGTAAATATCTGATATGCAGGATGGTCTTAGGCGACCCCTGTGAAAGGGTCGTTCGACCGCCAAAGGGGTCGCGATCCACAGGTTGAGAACCGTTGACATAGTAAAAGCTTCTGAAATACTAATGCTCCCAAGGCAAGTTCCTCTCCTGGCATTTAAACTCCAGCAGGGAAGTGACTTGGTTTGTTTTCTTTCTCCTGGTTCATAGTAGACACTCAACAATTGAATGGAGAATATGATAAAATATATAAATAAACATGGATGTCCTTTCTTTGGGAAATTCACATTAAAATATTCCTGGTGAAATTTGTGACGTGATATTTCAATTATATAACGCTGAGAATTCCTTCATTTGGGGCAGATTATGTCACCCACTACTCCTAATTGCTGTCATCTACAGACTTTTAGGTCGCATCCCTCATTTCTTTTAGTGCTTGACTCACTGGGCCACTCACTCTCTTTAGCACTACTCCTGTCTATTTTTTAAATTTTATTTATTGATTTTAGAGAGAGAGGGAAAGGAAGAGAGAAACATCAACATGTTGTTCCACCCATTTATGTAGTCATTGGCTGACCTCTGTATGTGTTCCAACTGGGGATCGAACCCACAACCCTGGTGCATTGGGACAATGCTCCAACCACCTGAGCTACCCAGCCAGGGCACCCCTGTCTTAATTCTTGATGATTTCTGTGTGTGTGTGTGTGTGTGTGTGTGTGAAATCTTTCCCATATCTGGCCTCTCAGTTTCTTAAACTCTGTTCCAACAATTACCTTGTCCCCTTGCCACTTAATTACTTTCTCATGCCTTTACTTTTTATCCTACCTTAAACCTTGTCATTGCCAATTAAATCTCAACTGCATGCAACCCATCCCTGATTACCACTTCTTATTTTTTCAACTCACACCTGCTAGTTCCCTTAATATGTCTTTCAACCCATCAGAATCTTTAATTAATTGACCCCTACCCTCTCTTTACAGTTCCTCATCCCCTTGATGTTCTCTCTTGCCAGGAACCCCAGCTTAAATTCAATCATTATGTTCACTCTTTAGACACACCTTCAACCCCTGTGCTCATTATTGCTTCTTGGAGGTTGCTTGGCCAAACATGGTCCTGATTAAATACAACTCACGACTCTCAGCTGTCACTCACGGCTGAATGGGAATGCAAAAAAACATACCATCCTAACCAGTCTCACTTTAAACTCAGGTTTATGGGTGGACCTCAAGCAGGTCCCAGCAACCAGGCTGTATTTCTGTAGTATACATGCAAGTAGAGATGTCTAAGAAGTCAAGTTGATATGTTAGTTGACAATTCAGGAGACTAAACTCTCCCAAACATACTTCACTGATAGTTTTCTCCTTCTAAACTGATGGTAATTCCACCCTTCCACTTGCTAGAGCCAAAAAGTTTGAAATGATCCTTGACCCCCTCTTTCTCTGACACGCCAATTTCATCCATCAGGAAATCTTGTTGGCTCTATCCTCAAAATGATTTAGAACTTGATTCAGTCACTGCCTCCTCTACCCTTATCCTGGTCAGAGCCACCATCTTCTTCTTTCACCTGAATTATTGCAAAACCTCCTAATTGCTACCTCCCATTTTCTCCCTTTTGTCACCTACATTCTGTTTTCAACAAAACAGCTAGAATATTCTTTTCAAATTATAAAGTCAGATCATATCACTCTTCTGTACATAGCCCTGTTTTCTCATTTTACGTAGAAAGAAAAACTAAATTCTTTCTAACAGCCTTCCAGGACTCTATCAGATCTGTTCCTCTCCACCCCATTACCTCTCTGACTTCACCTCCTGTTACTGCCCTCCAACCCTCTCCAAACCCA